CCCTCCCACCTACATAATAAATGAGGTGATGTTACAGGACTCCACCAAACACGCTCAGTGAATTTACTGGGCTGCACCTGAATGAATTGGAAAAAGGAGTGAATTTCGGCTCAGAAAAAAGAGCCCTCTACTGGGAGTTTCTCTTAGTAGTCGGTGCAGTGTTCTAGAATGCAGCCATTCAATCAGGGGCACTATCTAGGCCGACACATCCTTGTGTGGCTTACTGCAATTATGAAATGGCCTGATTCAGTCTGGAGTGAGTCCCATTGAAATTGTTTCTTGCCATCAAAGCCATCTGGAGGAAAGATTTAATTTGTAATAATGAGATTTAAGGTCTGTAATGGCATTTACGCAACACGACTGCAGTATGCAAGTTAACTGGGGACAGTGTCTATTAGTCATTTATCTTTGATGTCAAGACACGAGCATCATCAGGCCGAGTTTTCCATTCAGAAATGAGGGTCGTTCACTTGCCGTGATAAAACGATCCATCTGACAATGAAGCAAGCGGAGGGGAGCTCTCTGCTCTCCGACTCATCCATTCAAGGTCTTTGGGAAGAATTGGTTACAGAAGCTGACTCTCTCAAGAGAAGTGCTGGAGGATGAAGAGGGTGTGCATAGGTATCTCAGAGGGGTAGGAAGAAAGAAGGGCATAGGAGGCAGTCAGGCCTCTCAGCTGTGTGCTTTGAGGGAAGGAATCCATGGAAGTGAGCTCTATCAAGGAAGAGTGCAAACAAGAGAGGTCTGGAGGGTGGAGGAGAGAAAGCAGGCCACCACCGACTTGGTAATAGTCAGAGACTCCTTCCCTCTTTGTGTTATGTCGTATCTGTATGGTAGTAGCACCTCAAAGGCCCGGTCAGAATCAGGGCCCCATTGTGATGGGCACTGCACAGGCATATAGGAAAGAAGAGAGCCTGCCACTACCAGCCTCCCCCAAAGATCTGCTATTGTAGATCCTGATAGCTTACACCACTCCAAGTTCCTGCTGAAGAACCAGTGCATTTAACAAGTCTCACTCTGCAGGGCTGCTTGTTTGTGACTCTCATGGAAGGGTGCTCTCTCTCTATCGGAGCACGGGGGGAGGGAAGAGACATTCCTTCCTTCCCTGTGTTAGTAGCACAGAAGGCCTGCTGTCTTACTGCCTCCATCCCTCACCTCTGATAGAAGTCCCCACTAGGCCCTGGGCAAAGATTCAGCGATGTCACCAGAGCAAAGGGCCATCCCCAGCTGCTGCAGTTAGAGGTGTCATCCTTCAGACCAGCATTACACCAGGGTCCCCTCTCCTCATTGCCAGTGACTGTTCACGTGGAAGCTAGAGGATAAGGGGACATTCTCATGCTTAGTACCAGGGTGAGGTACCACTGAGTGCAGAAAAGCTGCTCACAGCGTGACTGCACCAGCAACGTCTACCTCGTTATGTACGAAAGGAGTTACCAAATACCAGCTTCTATTCAAATACCTCATGTGGAGGTTCATGTTTATCAAGTCTTTTAAAGATGACAGCTTACATTGAGCACAGAAGTAAACACACTGGACAAGAACAATGAGGCAGAGCTAGGATGACTGTCTCAACAAGCACTGCTGTATTTACCCAGTGCCCAGATATCAACACTAACACTAAATTACAGAGCTAATCAAAGACCTGGCTTTCAGACACCTACTTAAGCACATAAGAACGGCCACACTGCATCAGACCAATGGTCCATCTAGCCCAGTATTCTGTCTTCTGACAGTGGCCAATGCCAGGTGCTTCAGAGGGAATGGACAGAACAGGGCAATTATTGAGTGATCCATCCCCAGTCATCCACTGCCAGCTTCTGGCAATCTGAACTAGGGACACTCAGAGCACAGGGTTGAATCCCTGACCACATTAGCTAATAGCTATTGATGGACCTATCCTCCATGAACGTATCTAATGCTCTTCTGAACCCCATTATAGTTTTGACCTTCACAACATCCCCCGGCAACAGGTTCTACAGTTTGACTGTGCATTGTGTTATATTTTGTTCTTGTGCCCAAGAAACGATAGTGTCTGGCACAGAGCAGATGTATTTAGAAAAATACACAGGATTGAGGAATCAATGCCATTGGCTAACTAGAGCTCCAACCAACCTGTGCCTTAGGGGACATCTGACTGGCAGAATTCTCAGCCAATCAGAGGAGTAAGCTGCTGTCCAGTTACTGACCCATACCTGTAGAAGTATTTCTCAAAACTATACACCAATAGCCAATAAGAAAGCAGGGATTTGCATGAAGAGCTTCAACGAGCACATATCCACTTGTACGGATGGGATATTATCCTAGGGCTCAGTTTTGCTACTGCCCTCAAAATATGACACTTTTCCCTGCAGCAAATGATCAGTACCTCAACTTCTGCCCCGGCAACATAGGCTCCCCAGGAAAGCTTACCCCATTAAAAAAAAGCACACTTTTAAAGCTTTCCCTCCTTATGAGCATGCTTTCAGATGGAAGTCTAGACTACACGTAAAAGTTCACTTATGCTGGCAAAGATGTGGGGGCCAAGGACTTGTGTTTTGGATTATCTTGTGTTTTGTCCCTTAGAAGAGTTTCATACCAGGAGGCAGGCAAATCTATAGTTCTAGAACGTTGTAATCATAACAGAGTGCCCCAAAACCACTAAAGATAAAGCTTTCTAAATCAACACCTGTGTCAGGAAAAGTGTTTTATACATGTTTCACAGATGCATGTTAAACTTTAATCTGTTTGTTGTTTAAAGCATTCTGAAGATGTTATAAGTGTGAAATGAATTGGAATACTTTTAGTACAAGAGATGCTATAGTCAGATTTGGGTTTCTATGGGCAATCCATAATGATTGTGCTTTTTTGTGATTTTATTACACACTGCAGAGTTCTTGATCACCAAATGCAAGATGTTTGAAAGAATATGTAACTACAGTCAGCAAAATGAAACCTGCTTCCATGCCTTAGATGGGTTGAAGGTTGCAAGCATCCCACCAAGGAAAAAGGTGAATTACACTAAATTTTTAAAAAATTGTAGCAACAAGCAGCATCTGAGTTAAACTGAAAAAAAAATGTGTTTTTTAAAAACTTCTATGCAGGTGTCATTATGTTTAAGAACAATCCTGCTTCTGTACGAGTCTCTGGGGGTATTTTGGCCTTTCTGGATATGCTCTCATTTGTTTTTAAGTTTGCTGATAGGAACAGCTGCACAAAAACAGAATCTGTGTTTCCACAAATAGGTCACCTGCTTGTTACTGTGAAAATAATTGTTACCAGATTGTGGAAATAGTTCATTCATTGACATTTGTACTAGCACGTCTTTTCCTAAACGGTGAAAGAAAACACCTTTCCACATCCCTCTAACAGTGCCACTGCTGTATGTGTGTGAACTGTATCAAAGTGCTGTCTGGACAGCACTCATACAAGTGGAAAGGGCTTTACAAATGAATAAACACCACTATTAATGTTTGGGTCTCCAGGTGGGGCAGAAAGCAAATGAATTAATAAACAAAGAACCTGTTTTCATACAATTATCCCTAGCAACTTTATCAATGGGGAATATAAAGTTTAAATAAAGCAGAATTGTTTCTAACCACACACCGGTTGTGGTCTCAGATGGGAGCCCAGAACTCCAGAGTAATTCCAACTATGCCGATAAGTCACTATGGGGAAATTATTTCACTTCTTTGTGCCTGAGGTTTCCGGTCTATAAAATGGGAACTCTGCCACCTACTTACCTCATAGGGGAAATGCAAGGCTCTATTAATGTCTACACAGCACCTCAAAGAGCATGGTCTACAGCAGGGGTTCTCGAACTGGGGATTGGGACCCCTCAGGAGGTCACGAGGTTATTACATGGGGGGTTGTGAGCTGTCAGCCTCCACCCTAAACCCCGCTTTGCCTCCAGCATTTATAATGGTGTTAAATATATAAAAAAGTGTTTTTAATTTATAGGGGGGGGGTCACACTCAGACTTGCTATGTGAAAGGGGTCACCAGTACAAAAGTTTGAGAACCACTGATCTGGAGGCTAAGTACATCCCTATTAAAGAGAGGATTTTTTTTAATTTACAGTAAAACATTAGCAAAATTCCTGATTTCTGTGCTGCCCCCACATCATATGGGAACCAGATTAGGAATGAGAACAGCTGCCAAAGCATTGGGCGATTCAGCCTCACTCTTTTCTTGAAGCATTTTATGGCCACACTGATTTCGAGAGAGCTGGATTAAGCTTCACCACCACAGGGAGGCAAAGAGAACGCCTGCTGGGTTACGGTGCCCCCTTCCCGCAGAAATGCCAGGGTGAGCTGGGTACCGAGCAATGCTAAGCTTTGCTCATTTCCTTGGCACTTGACCTCTTTACACTACAGAAACCAAATCCTTAAAGCTCTATGGGGTAGGGACGGGAACCCCCCTCCTCCCTGTGTCTGCGCAGCTCCCAGGCCGCCAGGGCCAGAGCCCAACCAGGCACCACTGCAATATCAATACTAAACCTCCAGACAAAAGGCAGGTCTGGGCTGCAAGAGCCACATCAGCAGCCAACAGGAAAACAGGCTGCAAAGAGAAACTTCTGCAGTGCCCCGCCCTGGCACCAACCCGGGGCAGGGAGGTGGGGCTGCCTCATCCCAGCACCAACCCTCACAGAGGGGAGCCCCCCCGCCCTGGCACCAACTCCCCCAGGGGCCACCCCCCCCTTCCCCAGGGGGCTGCCCCATCCCAGCGCCAACCCTCACAGGGGAACCCCCCCCGCCGCCCTGGCACCAACTCCCCCAGGGGCCACCCCATGGGGCTGCCCCATCCCAGCGCCAACCCCCTATCTCCCTGCCCCGCCCCCACAGAGAGGGGGAGGGGAGCCCCGCCCCGCAGAGGGGGCCCTGTCCGGTGCCGCGGGGGGGTCGGTACCTGCTGCCCGGCCGCCCCCTGGGCTGCTCACCCTCGGCTCCGGCCCCCGGCTCCGCGCGCCCAGTCCCGCCCCGCCCCTTGCCCGCGGTTGGCGATCGCGCCGCCTGACGCACCCACACTCGCCGGTCTCCTCAGTGCGAAACTTTCCGGTCAGGCATCGCCAGGGGCAGCCCGCGGGGGTCCTGCGGAAAGGGTCGCGCAGGCGCGGTGAGACGCGGAGGCCAAGAAGAAGCGAGGCGTGAGATCACTGTACGGCAAGAGGAAGGGGACAGAGGGGGCGGGGCCTAGAGCAAGGAGGGGCGGGGCAGGCGCGCGAGAGCCGGGGACCGGGCGGCGGGTGCACTGCTGGGCGGGGCTGCGCGTGAGGGACCCGGTGCGTGGGGGCGGCACCAGGGAGCAGCTGCCAGGGGCGGGGGCTGAGCACCACTGACCAACGCTACTGGGGTCTTGGGCACCAGGTGCTAGGTGGGGGGGAGGGGCTGCAACACACACCCCCCTAGTTCCAGCACCTACACACACCCCTTGTCCAGCACCTACACACACACACACACACACACCCCTTGTCCAGTACCTACACACACACACCCAGTTCCAGCACCTACACACACACACCCCTAGTTCCAGCACCTACACACACACACACACACACCCCTAGTTCCAGCACCTACACACACACACACACACCCCTTGTCCAGTACCTACACACACACCCCCCTAGTTCCAGCACCTACACACACACACACACACACACCCCTAGTTCCAGCACCTACACACACACACACACCCCTTGTCCAGCACCTACACACACACACCCCTAGTTCCAGCACCTACACACACACACACTATATGCTTTCCAGCTGATTTCTAGGGTACGTCTACACTACGAGATTAATTCGAATTTAGATAATTCGAATTTGGGAAACAGATTGTATAAATTCGATTGTGCGCGGCCACACTAAGCACATTAATTCGGTTTTTAACCACATTAATTCGGTGGTGTGCGGCCACACTACACCATTAATTTTAACCACATTAATTCGGTGGTGTGCGGCCACACTACCCCTAATTCGAATTTACAAAATCGATTTTGGTGCTACTCCGCTCGTCGGGGTGGAGTACAGAAATCGATTTTAAGCGCCCTTTAATTCGAAGTAACTGGCTCCGTTGTGTGGACGGGTTAAGGATTAATTCGGATTAACGCAGCTAAATCCGAATTAAAGTCGTAGTGTAGACCAGGCCCTAGTGTCTAGCAAACGCTTTTCACAAAGCGATCACTCCATAGCTGACCTATCCGGCCTCATCCTCAACGGAGACCTGCCCACTCTCAGGAGCAGCCTGGGCGCTCACGTTCATAACTTAGCTAGACACTAAAAATCCTGGTCTTAAGTTACAGCACCGTGTAACCCGCTAGCCCGGCTTTCGGTCCTGTGGCTACAGGGGCAGCTCCTTGAGGGGTCCCTTAGAACATGTGCTCACTACCTATGTTGTGCTATCTGTGGGCTCTTGTATTTAGCTGTGACACTCGGAGAACATTTCCCAGACCCGGAGAAGAGCTCGGTGTGGCTCCAAAGCTTGTCTCTCTCACCCACAGGAGTCGGTCCAATAAAAGATATTCCCTCCCTCCCGCACCTTGTCCCTCTATATCTTGGGACTGCTCGGCTACAAGGTGCTGCCTGTGGCTCTTTAGACAGCAGGAGGCGAGGAGAGGAAACTTTCTCTCCCCTCCCTCGGGAAGGTGGGGCCAGCCAGCCACTGCTGTTGGGACAGGAAGCAGGGCAGCCCAGCTGCTGGGGAGGGCTGAGGTGGGGTGGAGTTGCTGCTGGTAAGGAAGAGGCTGTCACTTTGAAATTGTGGTGCCCGTGGGGAAGAGAGCTAGCCCAGGTTTGCCCTGTCTGTGCTGCGGTCACTGGGATCCTGTCTCTGGCAGCCGCCGTTTGGCTCTGTCGCTGTTTCGTAAGCTGAGGTGGGAACCGAGAAGGGCTGGGAAAGGGTGGATCAGAACCGGGACAGGGGCATGTAGATGGGATTGTTAAAATCGAGTAATGGCAAATTAAACGTGAGAACCCCGCGGTAATAAAACGCCTGGGCAGCTTTCAGACCTCCAGTGGGGATTCAGCCAAACCTCCGGCTCACGCTGGAGGCCTCTGTCCCACCATGTGCTAAACCCAGGGTGGAGGGAATGGATGGGGAAACTGCCCCTGAAAAACATGACGGGTGCGATCATGTCTTGTATTGGACCAGCTTCCGGTGGTGAAAGAGACAAGCTCCAAACAGCTCCAACCACACTGCAAACAAGGAGAGAAACAAAGGTAGAGCTCAGGGGGGCTGGAACAACGGGAATAGTGGAGTGCTGAGAGCCACTGAACCAAACTGTAACCCCTGCATGGGATGGAAACCGCTTCGAGCCAGGGGGTGCGGCCGGCAGCCCCCCTAGATCCAGCACCTATGGCAGAGCTTGGGAGGTCTCCTGGGGAGGGGGGGTGCATGCGTGCCAGAGAGAGCGAGCCTGCGCCTAGAGCCGGGCGGGGGAGTGGAACACAAACACTGGAATAGCACAGCAGCCCAGGGGTTTCCTGTCTCTGGCAGGGGTCAGGGGCCAGGCCTCCTGGCTCTGAGGGACTGGCTCGACCCTGGGGCGCTTGGCCAGTAGATGGGGCTACCCACCCTGCTGTGCTGTGCTGTGCTGTGCTCCAGGAGGAGAGGCAGCCTGCTTCTCTCGCTTTCCTTGAGCAGGTCCTGCTGGAGGGTGCTCCCTGCCCACCCCTCTCCCCTGGCCTTCTGGACCACCTCATCAGGCCCCACCCTGCAAGCCTCCCCAGCACGCCCCTTGAGTCAGCCGAATGACATCCAACCAGTCCGTCTCTGAGCCGCACCCAGGAAACAGCTGTACATGCTCTGCCTCCTTGCCCTCGTGTCCCACCCCGGCCTGCTGCCAGCTGAGGAGGGCGAGGAAGGGCCGGTGGCCAGTCTGTGCTATTCTGGTTCCACAGTCTGCCAGGGAGATCAGCTGGCAGCTCCTCCATGGAGCTCTGAGCATGGGCGCGTACCTGGCGCAGTTCATCACTCCCCTGGCATCTGTTCCTTGTGCAGCTAGAGGGAGACCCTGGCGTGTGTCTGTGGAGGGTGCGTCAGCTCCTTCAGAACCTCTTCCTGAGATTCTGGCCCCACTTCTTCCCACCCCTCCTAATTCACACCCCCCTTCCAATCCATGGCCCCACAAAGTTGTGGGACCTCCTCCTCCACCTCCTCCTGGCGCTGGCCAGGATGGCCATCCGCCATCCCAGGAAGATAAACCTGGAGGTGCCTGTAGGGCCTGTTTCTGCTCTGCAGAGTCATGCCACCGAGCAGAGGTCCTCTGGGCGGCGTCCACCGGCACCTTTGAGGAGCAGCGGGCGCTGGCGGGGGTTCTTTGACCCATTCCAGTATTTTCATTAGTTGTCCCCAGTATTTACTTGTGGGCTGGGTCCGCTGCCCACCCACCCCTCGGTTGAGGGGCGGGCCCTTAGCTTTAGGCAGGCTTAAGCCCACCTCTCCTGGTAACCGCAATGGGACCCGGGACCCCAGCGGCTTCTGAAGCAGACCCAAGAAACCTGCTAGCAGCCAGCCAGAGAATGAGCTGCCCGGAGTGGCAGGGGCGTGGGCGAGATGGCTGGTGGTGTAGGAACGAGGGCGCAGCAGAGATTTGAGGGGAGAAGCAAAAAAGACAGAAAATCTAGGGGAGCAGGGAGAGCTCCTGGTGTAGGGCAAGAAAGAAACCAGGGGAGTGTGAGGGAGAGAGGCCTGGAAGACATGCAGGACGAGAGCCCCAGGGTTAGTCCAGGGCAGAGGTGGAGCCTCCCAGCAGACTGGCCTAGCTCCCTCTTGACCCTGTTAGTGCCGGGCAGTGGGCTGCCCCACAGGGCTTGCTGCAGAGGGCTCTGCACCATGCCCCTGGGCTGTGCGTGCTGCCTCCCCAGCACGCCCGGGTGGACTTGCACCCAGAGCCCTGAAAGGAGGCAGGACAGTCGTGTGGCTGAGGCACAGGGACTGGGGACCAGGACTCCTGGGTTCTATTTCTGATCCTGCCGCGGAGTCGCTGCCTGAGTCCCTTTCCCCATCAGTCCCTGACCCTCCCTGCGTGGCTTCAGTCCCTAATGTGGGCCAGTGCTCTGAGCTCCTTGGCTGGCCGGTGCAGAAAGGGCAGGCAGAGCTGGGGATGTGGGATGCTCCCCTCTGAACCCCTCCTCTCTTCCCCCCAGCAGCCAGATGCCCAAGAAGAAAGTCGTAGCGCCGCTGAGCCGCTTGTGCCTGGGCAACGTGGCCAGGCACATGCAGAGCGTGTGGGTGAAGGATTACAGCGAGAACTACCTCGACGAGTACCAGTTCCGCTACGTCATGGGGCCCTTCAATGAGCTGGGTGAGAGGCAGCCGTGTCCCTCTGCCCCCGCCACCCTCCCATCCCAGAGCATCTCCTGGCCTTGTCCCGCTGGCACCCGGGAGGGCGGGGGACCACCTGGGCACAGCAGGGAGGAAACACGCTGCAGCGCTGACTTCCTGGCCTTGCCATTTCACAACGCAGACACCCTCCTGCCCTGCTGCCCCCTGCCCGCCATGGGCAGCCCCTCTGCCGGCACAGCCCCGTGCCCAGGGAGGCTGATTCTCACGCTGTCTCCCACACAGCCGGCTGCTTAGTCCAGGACCTGCTCCAGTTACTGGGCGAGAGTCGGCGCCTGACGCGGGCCGCACTCCACCTGCTGCTCCTGCCCCACCTGACAGAGCTGAGCCTGCGCTCCTGTCCGGGCCTGGTCAGCAATGCCATCACCCAGCTGATCACGGTGCGGTGCCAGGTACGCAGAGCCCCAGCGACCTCCTGGGGACGCACGTGTGATCAGGAAACAAGGGAAAGGGTCTGAGCGGATGAACTCCTGGGTTCTGTCCCCAGCTCTGGGAGGAGGTGGGGTCCAGTGG